GCAGCTGACAAACGTGGCTGTTTAGTGGTGTGATGAATGAGGAGAATGCGGAACATGCATGCATATATCCGCCTTAATGTGAGCATCAAGTCCCAGAGCACAACAAGGCTCTCTGTTGTTTAACCACCATGTTTTCATGTTTTGACTGGTAGCCCCGGGTCTCACATGACCAAATTACCCCCTTTAGATGGGCTTCTGAGCTCGATATGGACGAGAAATTCCTGCTTGTAAATCCGTTTCATTAAAGAATCGGTACAAGTTTCTGGACTTTCACCAAAGTGCACAGAGTCTTTCTTCAATCCTCCTTAAAATTGGAAAAAAGGAGCAGCTTCATATTTTGAGGACAGATTTTTTTTTTCTCTTTTTTTTGTCATGCATTTGCAATTTAACACAGATGTTTTGAAATGAGGAAGCAGTGAAAGGGCCTCCATCACAGCAGAGCTCCTACTTGATAAAGACCACATTAGCAAACAATAACTCTTTTTTTTACTACTGGGTGAAGATTGATACTCTCATCAAACTGCATAACGCTTTCCCCACTTTTCTTTGACCTTTTTATGAATTTCTGTTCTTTTCGGTTTAAACTGACCAGTGACGACTCCAAAATCATACAAACACACACAAATGCATTTCTCCACACTCATAAACTCCATTAAAGCACCGTGTAACCAAAGACCTGTTTCTGTCGGGCACAACCTAGGCTGACCCCTCATTGTGTATGTCCCAGGAAATGCCAGAAGTGAATGTGACCTGGTCCGGTGATGGACCCCATGCTCTGGATTCTATCCATATCTCAATCGCTGTGGCAACAGACAAAGGCCTCATCACTCCAATCATCAAGGATGCTGCAACCAAAGGAGTGCAGGAGATCTCAGCCAGCGCTAAGGTAACGATCACAACAAACGAGGACATGAAGAACAATACAATTATATATATTAGGAAAGCAGATTGTTAGCATCTGAATATCTGCTTTTTTTATTGTATTTCTGTTAAACATCAAAGTAGAACAGCAAAGATTATTTGGTTACACATGTTAGCCATGACCGACGCCATGCAGACGCAAACAACACCTAAAAATAGAAGATTTCTGGAGATATTTTGAGGGGTGGCAAATCTACTCAGTTTTTTGTTAATGAGCATTGAACAGGCCTCAAAGCTTTTTCTCACGCAGAGCAAATGCTGATGATAAACCTGTTCCGCACCTGCAGTGTGACCTGGTATGACTCTTTAATGTTCAACACCCGGGCCAACGGCTGTCATGTCCCTGCAGTGATACCATGATTGATTAGTCTCCACCTGTTGCTTAACAACAAAAATACGTTTTTACCGAAATTTGTGGAATGACTTTGAACCATCAACATTTATGTCCATACTGTTAAATGGTTCTCATTATATTTATGGGGTAATGTGAAGTATGGACCTTTTATTATAAAATATGTCCTTTTGTCCCTCAAATATATATTTGTTGCATAATAAAAGGGATCTGCAGTTTCATCCCATGACACCAAATAAACTTACCTGAAGCTTAACTAGATGATTGGGTTGTAGGAACCATTGCTTTGAACATGATATAAAGTTTGGAAGCAATTTTAATACAAGGAAAGGCTTTGGTCCAGACAGTCATAAGCTGAGGGTTTTCATCTCCCAGGTGGTGCTCTCCCAGGCTTTGTCTCTGTCCTGTAATGTTTTTTTTTGTTGCTTTTTTTAGTCTAGTCTCCTGGAAGTAAAACACAGCTTTTTTTTGGTCACACCATGTTCTCAGCTTGACCATCTCACCATGATGAAATTTGGACAGGGAGACAGCAACACGTTTCTGTGCGCTATGTGTTGCAAGGTGACCATATTTACTCCACCAGTCAGATGTTTGGCTGCTTTTTCAAGTGTTTCTTTAACATGCGGATGTCTCCAAACGTTTGACTGTTACAATATATGGCTTCGAATCTGCCCTCTGTAAAGTGATTTTAAAAATCTTATTCTGTTTTTAGATTTCAAATATGACTGTTATTTTTTGGTGCTGTGTTTGTCCGACTGGTTTAATGAGAATCATATTAGTAATATTCTTGCAATACAGCTGTACTACACAGGTTTCAGTTCAGGTATGAATTCAAAATGTTATTTGCCTTGTGCACAAGGTGATTATTTCTTCAGCTCACATTGGTCTCAATTAAAGTCCATTAAATGGTCGAGCCAGAGCCCAGAGCTGCCCCAGCTTGCCATTTATGTGATAGAGTGGAAATAAGCATGTTTATTTCGAAGGCCTCTTATCCCTCTGTGTGGGATGTGGTGAAAGCTACTATGAGTCATTCATAACTTTGTTGGTTTTGTACCTCCATTAACCTTTTCAAACATTCCCCTTTGAATAAATGCTTCTGCTGCTGCTTCTGCAAAAAAAGTTTAGGAATATCATTCAGAAGTTTCGGTAAAGAATTAAACTTAGAAAAGATGCCATTATTTTCAGCATAAGCCGAACTCCAAAACCTCTCTTTTTGACCTTCTTTATGCCTCCATAAAGTACTTTAAATACAAAGCTTTCCTTATGAGTCACAGAGAGTTGTTTTGGATATCTGGTTGTTCACGTTGGGCTTTAATGCTTTAAATCAAAAAGACGCTTTTATTTGAGTCTCAGTTTATTTCTCCTGACCTCTTCTTTATATCATTCAACATGTGTGTATTTGTTTTATTGCTGCGTTTGACTGCACTTTGGTTCATAAAGTATTTGATATTTTTTCCTGTGAAACTAAGCTTGAGTGATCTGAAATGTTTCCTCAGGCTCTGGCCCAGAAAGCTCGCGATGGGAAGCTCCTACCTGAGGAGTACCAGGGAGGCTCTTTCAGGTAAGCCTACCTCACACAATGTGTTTGGTTTTGATTTCTTCTTTCTTCATGTCGTCATCTGCTCACTTCTCAGTGGAAGAAAATCCTGACTATTTTGTGTTTGAGCCACATCTCAAATAACGATTCCCTCACTCTGCCTTTTGCATCTCTGTGGCGCTGTGATATTGTTTAGAAATAGCCTTCATTTTGCTACTTGTGCACAGCTTCACTGGCAGTCGTTACTCTGTGCATATCTACGTTTCATGTGAGCCTGAACCAAATGTGTGTTTGGGCGACAGGGAACATCAGTTACTGTGCCATCAATTGTAGAAAAGGGTTAGGATACTTCTTCTTTTCTTTTTTTTTAGCTCATTAGAATTAATGGTGTCATTTACACATAAATGGGGTTTCTGTGTCAGGCAGGAACAATGAATTCCTGTGGAGATGTAGCCGTCTTTGTCCTCCGGAGGATATATGTGCACACCCTTCCTCTTTTTGGTCTTTATACCAAGGGCTTTGCGCTAAAGCTCTCATTAAAGCAAAGGCACACTGCCCTCTGGTCAGCCTCACATAATGTGCACAGCATATGCTGACACTCCTGAAGGCGGAAGCTGCTTTATTAATCTTAATGTTCTAGTGTTTATTTAGTACGTTCACAGAAAATCGGACCCATTACATATTTGCTCTGTCGTAATCGGTGATAAGAGTTTTTCCATGTTTTTACTCGCCTGCTGAGCTTTACTAATGTGATTTGTGGGTGATCCTCTCTCTCATATGTCATTGCACATTTCTCCTGGTTTCAGTATATCCAACCTGGGAATGTTTGGGATCAGTGGCTTCAGTGCTGTGATCAACCCCCCTCAGGCGTGCATCCTCGCCATTGGGACCTCCAGAACGGAGCTGCGATTGACCGAGGACGCTCAGACCCTGCGCACGCAGCAGCTGATGACAGTGACGCTGTCCAGCGATGGTCGTTTAGTGGACGATGAACTGGCCTCTCGCTTTCTCGATAAATTCCGTGCCAACTTAGAAAAACCGCAGCGCATGGCCCTCGCCTGAAAAGGAAGAGATAGTTTAGTGAGATAAATCTAATTTAAACAAAACACCCACGTGACAAAGCCTGGCCCATGTTTTCCCAAGCAGAGAGCTCCTAAACAGTAAATGACCATGTATGCCTTGTGTAAGGCTTTAAGGTTGTATTGTACATAATGTTAACTTAAGTTTGTGGGTTCTCTTTAACTGATCCAAGCCAGGCTTTTTGTGGGGTTGGCTTCTGCTAGAATGTTAGAGAGGGATTGATTCCAAATATTTACAGGACAGAAGTGGTTCAACAGGGTTAGTCCCAAACACAGCAGAAAGGATGCTAACATTCTTTTTGCTAACATTGTAAATAAAGTGATTACTCTTTTGTCAGATCCCACTTCATCAACTTCATGTCAACTTCAAGTAGTAAAACTGGAAACGGTGAAAACACCTGCTGTGCTTCTAACAGATATTTATTACTTCGCATCAGTGGGAAAGCAGTTTCCATTACAGTTTAATCCCAAAACCAGTCCTGTATTTTGCTAATGTTGAGAGTTTTATCATTAGCCACGTGTGTTAATAGGTATTGATTTATTTAAAACAGACGCCACTGCAAACAAGTCCTTTAAGTTTAATTGTAAACAAAATTTGTTTTGGTATCTTCAGATGCCAATAAAACACCCTGTTCAACCTTCAAGTTTTGTGTTTTCATTAGAACATAGTCCTCCATTTTTCATGAAGTAGGTACTGGTGACTTCACAGGGATTTATTTATTCTATTTTATTTTAATTTGTGCTAAAGCCGAAACACATTGCACACTGTTTGTCTAGTAGAAGCTGATTAAGATCTTATGCGGGGCTAGGTGGACAGTTGACACTCTGCTGACAGATGCTTCTTTGCTGGAACCATAGGCAGAAGACCTTTACCATCACTTCCATTGTGTCCCAAATATGCTAAACAAAATCATTTAATTAACCCTGTAGACATTACGTTATCATCCACAATGATTTGGGATATCCGTTTTACACACTATACATTTCTAAACTCAGAGTGCTGTCGAAGCTGTTGGACATTTCTGGCAGAATTTGTTTTATTTCTGTCCTGTTGAAATTAACTGATTCTCAGAATGTATTTTCTGCATTTCACTACAGAATACAAATAACTTGAGCCAATTTGCATTTAACGCAGGCTGAAAAAGAAAACTAACAGAAAGAACATAAATTTTTAACGTGGCATTGCTTGTAACTCCAAACATCATACCCTTACTATCTTGCTGTAACCGCTTGTGTTAGCACACTTTACCAGCTTTCAGCATCAGAAACGAGGATTTTTTGTTCTTTTCAGTTGTGGAATAGGACTAAGATCCAGCTTTTAAACAGTTTTCAGCAGTATGCCTACTGTTGTGTTTCCTGTTGTGGGAGTTGTTAAGGTAAAAGCAGGGGCTGAGGAGAGGACAAAGCTTGTGCCCTTTAACACTGCACCTTCAGACAACACAGCAAATGGACAAAAAGCTTTTGTCCATTTGTTTTTATTTTTTCTTATCCTAGAATTCTTTGAGTTTAAAATGAACCTATACAGAAAGAGAAGCACTGGAAGGGATAGTTCACATCTGCTCTCATTTCTTCTCAGCCTCCGTCAAACAGATGTTTTACTTCATCTTCACTTGTCTCTTATTCATTGAATATGAATGTGTTATTGATCTGTGAGCCGGTTCATGATCCTACAGCCAGTGTGACTATTCGACTTGGGGCATCATCTGCCAGGAAGAGATGGAGTGCGGACATGGATCGACCTCAGATCGAACTGAACGCAGAATCTGACACGATGGCTGCTCATGGGAGCCACCGCCAAAGCATGTGAAGTAGCAGGAAGTGAATACAAATATGTGTGTGTTTGGAGTGTGTTTTTATCTTTTCTTTTGTCTCCTCAGAGCAGATCTCAGATCTGCTACTATCCGGCAGCAAACCCCTCGCCGGCAAACAGTGGCATGATGTTCAGAGCAAAATCACGTGAACATGCTCATGTTTACTTGTCTTATATTCTTGGATGGCAGCTTGCCTCATCTACTGTTGGTGGAACAAGGACTCTTTGTGCTGCTGGTATCCAAAATCCTGTAGGCTACATAATTATCAAGTGAAGTAACATCATTTTGCTTTTGATATCTATTTTTGTCATTCTACATGTCTAGGAGGCTAACTTATGTTTACTACAGGCCTTTTTTTTTTTTCTGCCAGCATCACATTTTTCTGTCCGGTTGACTGTTAGGTAGAGCAGCTGAACAAAGCCTCTCTCTGGTTATCAGCTCTGCAAATGCAGCTAAAGAGATTCTGACATTTCCTTGGCTTTCCTGTCACAGTGTGACATTTACCCCTCTGATGGCCACCCGCCAGTCTCTGCCTAGAAATCTTGTTATATGTAACAGCTGGATGAGAGAGCTGGCCGACGGAAAGAATCCGATTTGCTCCCGCCAAGGTTTTGATTAACAATGCGCAGGGTGTTGAAGATAATGCCGGTGTTTGGGCAGGCGTGCGGGTCGGGCTCATGGACACGCTGCAGGGTGCGGAGAAATGGAGGCTGTTGCCATGGAGACCACATGGAATGAGTGTGTACCTCTATTGTGTTTGCCCTTCAAATTCATTTTTCTTGGAAACATTTTGAGCAAATTTCTGTTATAGGGCAAATTCTGAGTTTGTTAGTTTTCAGGTGTGGGTCCAGAATGAACTGGGATTTTTGTTTTGTTTTTTGTCAAAAACCTCCAAAGCAGTGTAGAAGTGTATTGCGTGGTTTCCCTGCTTGCATCCCACTCTTTATCGCTTCCTACTGTCACAGCTTTTCAGCTCTGAAACTTTGAACCACTCAACCTCCATCATTCTCACAGACGCTGTTCAAATAAATCTGATTTATGATTACATGCTACATCTTTTGGCTCACAAAAGCAGCATTTGGAAGGATACAATAAGAGCTCATCTCAGTCCATCAGCTACTTCGTTATTTTATAAGTGCTCAAAAAGCCTCTTCTTGTCCCTGTTCTCACACACGGGGACATTCACTGTACAGTACTTCCTTTTGTGAATAGGCTTTGTGAAGTATCACCGGGGTTTATGTGAGGCTCTCTCACTCACATTATCTCACGCTCAAGTTTGTTTAACCATTGTTGACAGGATTTCCTCTGGTCTCCCCTTTTTCCCTTACTACCAGCACTTTTCCATTCAATCATCTTTTAAATAGATACAATCTTTGGTTACCTGCTGTAAAATTAGCATCCTGTACTTCTGCTTTCTACTTCCTGAATTCAGTTATATTTTGACATACATGTCATTCATTTTTTTGTTTTTTTTTGTTTCTGCCGCTCAAAATGTGGCCTCCTGTTAAAGCCGTTAAAAAGGAAGTTAAACCCAGAAATGAAAACAACTTCTGAGAGATTTCACCTGTGAGGTTACTGAGGTCTATCGCCGAGCAAAGTGAGGGTGGACATTCCATCTGGCTGAACGATAGGCTGCGAAGCCTCTGTCCAAACACCCTCTCTCCGCTGTCCCAGCACCCAAACAGAAGCGAGCCTCTCACTTTGTTGTTGTTGCAAAGCCTGGCCTTTTTGAAGCTTTCCAGCCATGCTGCCATGACGCCCGGATAGCTCATTCAGGTCGGGACTCAGCAGGGTGAGGCACAGCTCGGCCAAAGGTACACAACAACCGCACAGTCCCGACAACTCTCACCTCTACAGAACCCTCCAGCTCTGGCAGAGGCATAAGGGGACGCTAGCAGGAAGTTTTACAAGCAGAACAACCACATAAGTTAGTTCTGAACATAGTTAACCTCTTCTTATTTTAATTGATCTGGTTGATCCATGCAAAGAAATCAAAACTCCAATTTCTTGCAGTGTGTTGCCATGAAGTGGAAAGCCTCCTGGCAACCTGGCTGCGGTGTGTCTCAGAGAGGGTTTGCCAAAAAGTGATCCTTCAGCACAAAGAAAGAACACACACCTAACACAGCAACAGCACAGCAGAGGAAGATGTGGTACTGCTTCAATATGCATTGTGTTTTTCCTCATTGTACCATATTTGTGGAAACTCCCATATTCATTATACTGCTGTGTGCGTATAAGGACATCTTTCAATCTCCTCTAATAACATTCCTGTGACTTCATCATTCGAAAGGGGAAAAAGGCACGTTGCTTAAGAGGAATGCTGAGAAGGTGCCATTAGTCGGCCATTACCACAGAATTCCCAACCACAAGGACGTCTGAGGATATATTCACATCATGGAAAAGGTTCTGTCTTTTTTTGTCCGTGTCTTAGGCTGACTCTGCAGTCTAATGTTTAATTTAGAGTTTAGTCAAGAAGTATGCAGCTTCTTAACTTTATTTTTTTAGCAGAAAATAATATATACAAATGGGCTTAACCTGCCATGTCTTTGTTCCCTTTATTGTGTCAGAGCTACTTCCTATGCAAAACAGAAATACAACTCCATTGTTCATTTTTGTCCACATTTATGTACTCACAGACTTAGGGTGAACAAGTTGTGTTAGCCGTGTAAAGTGACAGAGATTGAGAGCTTTGTGCATTCCACCTTGTTGGAGTGTTGACCAAGGTGGTCTAACTGCCACAGCATTATGTTTATGTTCAGACGTTTAAAAAAAGGCAGTCATCATTCACACAAAGTAAACACATTGACCCAGCTCTTCATTGAAGGAGTAGATCATTTTTGGAGTTTCTGTCGAGGTTACAAAGTGAGATGGCAACAAAAGCAAGATAATCATTTGCCTTGAGAGGTTCTTTTTCACAGTTTTCTTTTCTGAATTTACCTCCTGCAATTTTCATTAGATTGTAGCACAAGTCTTATTATGTCAGTACATTTACAACAACATTCATGTTACATTAATGATATGTAATTTCCATGTGAAGAGGTAAATCGAGCATTACCTGTGTCATATATTTTTTAAACAAGAAAAAGTCAATGAAATATACACACCATAAAGATGAGTATATTTAGGATTTTTTATGTTGCAAACACTTCTTTACTGTACATGTTTGTATAGTGTCACCATGAGAACAAGTCAAAACAGGAAGAGATTTGTATGAGCAGAGTAGGAGGTGTGAATCATTGAGTTCATCATTTATCTGATATCCTCTTTTCTCTTTCAGTTTATGTCTTGATGTCATGGATACCATGGGTTTTCGGTTTAAGGGCAAATTATTAAGACCGTTATCTGATCAGTCAGGCTAAATTTAGACCAGTCTTTAAAAAATTCATTTTTGCAGTAACAATGAGATAATTTATCTCCTCTCTTTCTCACAGTCGCTGGCAAAACGACGATTTTCAACCATCTACCCAATGTTGAAGAGGAAAATCCCAGCTATCAGTGTAATTTTGTTTTTAGCGGGATAAAGACATTGGTCCCTGTAACCTCTTGATGCCTCTGGTAGTGGTATTCTACTTTGTGCTGATAAATTAGTGCTAAGCTCTCCAGCTGTCAACACCTGACCTGACCAGTTCATGGGTTACTGTGATATTTACCAGTACAGAAGAACTACTTATCAACTATCTGCTTTGCTTCTGTTAAGTGGTTTTCATGTTTACACTATAAAAACATTTAAATGTTTTATGAAAAAAATTAACTTTTTATGTTATTTTCTGGTAGTGTGGGGGGGAAAAAATTCAGTGTGTTCACGTTGACTGTGTTCACATGTATTTAATCTAAGACTCTATATATTCCCAAATGATTATTCAATCATTGCAAGTATGAACAAAAATGAAAATGGCATCTGTCAATGGACTTTTACTGGTGTGATATATAAGACTGTGCCATTCATCTGTATGGATGAGTGAGGACAGAATATCCCTCCCACAAGAAAAGCATATAATTTTTGGTTGGTAGGGAAGTCACAGCATCATGTCATGCTTTCACATTAGTGCGCTTGTGAGATATCGCAATATCACATGCAAACAGCAGTTTTCTTTTTGTGACTGGGGAGATTCCAGAAACCTGAGGCAACTCCATCCATCACCTGATGAAGTGAAATGTTAAACCTGGAGTAAAAATGGGGGCAAGTTTCTCATGTTGATAGTGGAAAAAGTGGGCGGTGAGATATTTTAGACAGCGTGGAGCAGAATTCCTTTGCTATGGAGCTGAATTAACAAGATTTTTATCTTGATTTTTTCCCAGCATATTAGAGAGAAATTGTTGCAGCTTAGAGTTTTCAAGTGTTTTCGTGTTGGTGGCCCACCATCCCACTGAGACACAGAGAGAGTGACAGAGAGCACAAGGGAGAAAAGACAGGAGGATCGGCTGAATTGACAGCAGAGAAAAGACTGAACAAAAGACCAGATGGGCTCTCTGAAACTCTTGCTGTCGGGAGCGTGGATAAAGGAAGTGGGGGTGGCAAGAGAGTATTGGGGGAATAAATGAGGTAAGGAAGGAGGGAGACCAGAAAAAGAAGCCACACTGAAGGACAGATCACCTTCTAAAAAAAACCGTTACAAACAGCAGAGTAGAGGAGGAGAGAGAAAGTGCACATGAGTTTAGAAAAAAAAAAAAAATCTGTTCGAGGTGGGGCGGGAGGGGAGGTGGGGCAAGCGTGGGAGAGGCAGAAGGGTGTGTGCTCACATGAACCGCTCTTCCACTTCTACGTGGTGCCACTTGCCTCTATAGCTCTCCAGCCGAGAAAATAAAAGTTGGAGCAAAATCTGATTCAGCTCCATCAGCTTCCAGACACCCAGGGCAGGTCCAGGTCTCTTTTTTCCCCCCTTTTTACTTCACTCACTCTCATTTACTCTCTTTTACACACACCCACACACACACACACACACACACATCAGCCATCCCTCGTGGTGCTGGAGGAGGAAGACTAGACCGGGGGAAGACCTTTGCACACCTTTACCCACCCAGCCACCACCAGACGCTTCACCCATGATGTGGACTTTTCTCTGGGGGGTCATTCTTGGATTACTGGCCTCCTCACGGTCGGATCAACTTCAAGGTGAGGAGATTATGCCTTTGACCTGCAGATGGCTCTTTGTTTTGGGATTTTCTTTTTTTGCGCATCAATTGTCCCACAGCAACGGGTAAAAATGTCTTTTGTTAAAAGGTTTTAGGACCAGACATGGTTTGGGTTTTTTTTTCTTTTTTTTTTCTCTCTCTTCTTTTCCCCTTTTTCATCAACCTCTTGAGCCTGGCAGAGCACATGAGAGAGAGTACTCATGTGAAGAGAAGCCGGTGTAAAGAAAGCTTGTAGAATGGATGAGCGGATGCCGGTAGGAGAGCATGTGCCACAGCAGCCCAGACAGGCTTACTGTATGTCTGGCTGTCTCAGACGCCTGACAGACACAAAGAGGACAGGCGCTCCTGCTCACTCTCTGTCTCCTACACATGCCGACGAGTAAACCCTATTTAAAAGGGTTTTGGACGATCACTGTAGTATTCAGAAGCAGCTTTTTCTTTATTTTTTAAAGCTAGAGGCTGTATTTTCCACTAATTTTCTTGATACCCTGTCATTCCTAATGCTTTACTCTATAACACAAAGGATGTTTCTCGGTCGCTGTAGCCTTATCCCACATGATGCCTCCCTCTTACTCTTTGTCTCAATTTCACTCTCACTTGCGTTTTCTGTCTGGATGTTTTGATTGGATTTGTAGCTCTGAGGGATATGTCTCCAGAGGTGAAGTTGCTTTTGAATCAAACAGGTTTGAGGGTTTTTTCTTGGCTTGTTCCCTGAGGAGCTGGTGGTCGAGTTGTTCATAAAGACTCCCTCCTGGCACTGCAGCAAGACCGATAAGCACCAAGCTTTGAATTTAATCAGATCAGCATTTACAGACATAAAAGGGAGTACCTCGACAGCTCAGGTGCAGCGCATGGGCGAGAAGAGGGGGGTGAATCTAACCCCCTCCCCCCCACAAAAAAAAATGTTGGTTTTCCCCCTAAAAAGTTGTCATGTATTGTGTGTCTGTGCATGTCGTATGGTGTGCATAATTGTTGATAGTTGTTGTTGTCTGGTGATTTGAGCTTTCCATGGTGATAACTAGTCATCCAGGACAAGGATGTAATCCTTGAACTTAACCTTAAGCCTGAAGCAGATCATTAAAAGGAGAACTTGTGACTAGCCCAGATTTTTATGACTAAGAGGAGATTCATTTCTTTCTGTCTACAGGGACAAGGATGATTTTGTCTGTGAAAGAATGTCAAAAAAATCAATGCTAAAGGAAACACACAAGCAGCATTTAAATGGTTGGTTTCCACCAGTAATTAAGCTCTGTTGGTTGATGTGTTACTGGATGAAATCTGAAGGAATCCCTATAAACTGTGGTAAAAGCAATATGATTTTCTTTGTTCTTTTATTAAATGTGATCATTTCCAAGTGCAAAACTGTTGGTGCTAATGAAAATATCTAAAAAGCTTTTAATACTTGGCTTTATCTAATCCAAGTTTTTGTTTCTTTCTTATCTTTTCCATTTAGATTCTCAGAACGTGATATATCCAGACTACCTCTTGAAGAAATAACTGACTAAAAATAGAATTAATATATTTTCGCTCTGAGTAATATACCTCCATGTTTTGACGAGCCCTAAACCATGATCTAATGTCCTGTTTCAAGGTGGGCTGTAAGAGGTCCCAAGGATCAGGTCATTGCAAAGAAAGCTTTTGCCTGTATGTTTGCTACACCACTGCTCCATCTGTGACAAACCAATCATCCTGAAGCTCAATGGTTCTGGGCCAGTACCTTGTAAAATCTCCCTTCTCTACTTATTTTCTGTCCTTCAGCATTGACTGAACTGACCTTAAATAACCCAGTCTTCTCATTCCAGCTGCTTTTCTTTTTTTCCAGACATACAAATATGAGAAATGTGGCCTCCAAACTCACTTGAACCATGACAATTGGCACGTAAGGCTGAAACAACACATAAATGTAGCAGACTACATCATTTTGATGACCTGCTTGGTATATCTTGATGTGTATCACTATCAAACGTCCAACCTAAACAACTCTACAAATCTGCATTCTGTGCTCAACTTGGCCAAGGAAAACAAAAAATAGAATCCAAGTTCTACAAGTAATACAGAAAAGACCCACAACAACAACTGCTGCACAAATACAGTAAAATATGCCGGTTGCTGTTTTCTTTATTGATGTGGCTAATGAGCCAATATTAATCAGCATTATAACAAAGCAACCATTCTATCAAGAATGATTAAGGCAGGAAACTCATTACATTGTGTGTGTGGCACTTTGCCACAGTTTTGCCACAATACAAGCTCTGGTAACATTTCACTACATCAAAAATGAATGATTTCCATTGCATTAGATGGAGAATGTTTAAGACACAGCCAGTTTACTCAAGATTGATAAACAGCTTGCATTTCAGTTGGCAGCCATAATCTCAGTTTATTAACTCATTAAACAATCATAAATACCCAACAGTGGCTGACTATCTGTCATCCAGTGGCAGAAAGAAAGAAGGCAAGAAAATAACAAAATAATGTGATGATTGTGAGGAAAAATCTTAAATTCAGTCACATTTCTTTTGGATATTTGAGCAAACACTTACTGTAGGTAAGCCAAAGTCATGTCAGTCATTTGGTTCATGATTACATTATTAGGGACTTGAAACCCAAATCAACCAAATTAACTTAACTTAGACTTTAGCGGAAGAAACTGAGACTGATTCGTCTCAGTTTTAGACTGAGTAGTTGATGTGAGAAGTGTAAATACACAGTATTAACAACATTTTTTACCTAGTTGAGCAATATGTACAAACTGGAGGAGTAAAATGAATATAAATTATCACATTTCTTACTTTTCTGTTGTAGTTTTCATTTGCAATTATTGAGAATTTGTCAAATTATGTGGAATCTAATCAGGATTTTTACAATGTGGCGCAACGTCCTGGATGGAATTAACCCCAAGAGTAACTGCCAGTGAACATGTAGCCTTAATGTGCTAAAAGAAATAAAGTACGCTTTTTGCCAAACTACTACTCAACGACTTTATGCAGCCATAAAGAAAAATAAAAGTTCACAACTTTATAATACACAATGTAAGCATGTAAAACAACCTATTTTACGACTCTTTAAACTCAGAGTAGTTAGCAGCATTAGCCTGCTTTAACCACAATCTGTGAACACTTTGTTTGATGCTCGTGCCCAAGGCAACAGCTGATTTTTTTTTTCTTGTCTAGCTAGACATGTGAAACAAAACGGCTATTTGTGGTCAGTGTGCTGGTCATTGTCTGAAAAGAGATTGTATCTTTATTGGGATCAGTGCTCCGCGTCTTCTGCTTTCCACATGACTGCAGACACAGCCCAGTTTCACCAGACAAAATGCAACAGATATTTGTCCCCTTCTCCAGAAATAGCAGTGCCACCATCCACGGCTGTTAACTTTAACAAGACAATGTGGCCCTCGGCTAAGTTATTCATTGTTCGGCAGCAACCACATGATTATGATCAGATTGATAAAGCATTGATAACTTATATTTCTTTGCTATTTTTGTAACCTTAACTAAGTATTTTGAGGCAACCAAAACTAATTGTGTATCATCTGCCTTCCCCTGTGTTATAAACCTAACCATTTCGAGGGGAACTTAAAATAAAGAGATTAGCACCTTCCTGTAGTCCTTTCCTCCTCTCCATAAACAATTGCAGACAAATCAACAATGTCAAATATAGCGCGATGTAGAAAACAGATGTGTTAATGTACCTAATTAGAAGTTATGCAGATGACTCATCCCTTTGCTAGATCGACTGAACACTAAATGTCAGCTTGCTGATGTATCAAGATGTAATGTCTTTTCTTAAGTGACACCAGTTTTGGAGATTTTTCCAAACGTCTCACGTCAAAATGGATACAATCCCCATTTTGATGTTGACGCAGTTGCTATGAACTTGCTGTTATTTGATTTAGTTTAAACAGTCTTTGCATCCAGCCAACTGCTTTAATATGGTTGGCCAGATCCGTGTTGAAAACAAACGGAAGAAAAACAAACCGCAATGTATCTGGTTGTACAGCTAATTGACAGTTTCTGCATTTCGACATGCTTATGTTTGGCTGGACCCTCTGCACAAGGATTTTTATTATTGGTTTAAGGACTAATATGTAACTTCAAATCTGGAGATCAGTTTAGTTTTTGATTTTGTAGATTTTGTTCCATTTTGAATGCTATCAAAGAAGCTGACTACCATCAGGAAGCCGCATAATTACGGCTTCCGGATGATTGTCAGATATAAAATTTTAAAAAACAACATAAACCAATGTGTCTTTGCAGTATTTATTTTGAAACTCTCATCTTTGAAAGGAATGCTAGAGGTCAGTTTTTATCACAGATCATCTGTCTGCCTTTATTCAAACCCAATTTTCAATTTTGAGGAGATTTTAAAGCTTCAAAAGGAGGGAAAAAGAATGCCAGTCTGTTCTGTTTGTAAAAAGCTCACTTGCCAAAAATGAACTCACTGGGTGGAGGTGTTGAGGTTTGAAGTTAGATAGGAAGTCGATATGAGAGAGAACATCAGTTAATTTTGTGACCTTCAGGCTGCATGTTCTTTTTTTGTGTGTGTGTGTGAATGTTCATACATATTTTCACCACATCTCATGTTTCACCTGTTCTACTGACCCAGCAGACTATTTTTGTGACCAACGGAGGGACAGTCATGTCTGCTTACTAAGCAGTTTGTGTCGAACTTGATGTTTTGGGACACGGACTCATGGTGACAGTTATGGCAACCATGTCTCTCTCCAAAACCAGGTCATGAACGGTAGTTAACAGGATGTCACAGCGGTGGTGGGGGTTAGATAGTGGTTTCTCTGTTCAGGCATGGCATTCCGGACCTCATGATATTTTCAGAAGCCTGAAGTGAAAACATTTTCAGAAAATTGTGTCTGGGAAAGAGTGGTGGGAATGTTTTTAATGGGGAAAAAAAAGCCAGGACCATTTTATATCAATTTGGTGTTAAAAAGTTGCTGTACTGGGCTCAGCCCTGATGGAGTAATCAATTGTCTTTAGGAGCATGTGCGTCCCTGCATGTCTCTGTTTGCTCAAACGTGCGCAAGTTCTAAGTACTACTTTGTTGCTGGCATTGAGGAGATAGAGTGATGACAGAAAACAAGATGAAACGCGAAACCCCCGAGAAAAAATTAAGGCGAGCAAAAGTGGAGACTCATATATGTCCACTTTTTCTTGTGCAGCTGGAGCTTTTGGAAAGATGCCGCTTTAAAACTTCCTTTCTTTGAGGCTCTGCGGCCAAACGGTGCAGTCTCCTTGGTTTCAGCTCCATTAGGTGACAATGAAGCTTTTGGGAGAGTCGGTGCCTTGGCGTAACAGGCTCATGGACTGTACAAAGACACTCATGACCCGTCTCGCTGCATACTAATGGGTACTCCTCTGATTCATGTCAGCCTTCCTTTCAGTCCCCTGATGGTGAGCTACGCTCCCTTTGATCTCTCTGGGGCTGGTTTGCAAGACTGTCCCCAAGACAGAGTCCCATGTGGTGAGGTAGTTTCAGCTGTCCGTTTGCATGTGTGTGTGCAAGAGGGAGAAGTAAAGATAATGAAACTGCTTTATGATACCATTACAGGAACTGGCTCCTGTTGCCCAACTACCACTCACTAAAGAAAACTCAACTTCCTGCAATCGTTCGTGCTCTGTGAGCTTTAGGCCGTTAGCGGGAAGCTGAGTGGTGTTTGGACCATACCAATATATAAAATGAAAGTAAAGCTTTCTTTAAAAAAAGAAGATGGAGAAAGGAGGCAACCATGTTTGTTTAATTTGTGGTTGCAAATGAGGAAGTTCACTTGAGGTTTCTTCTACTCCCACTATCTAAGTTACCCAGGGCATCCTGGAAATTTTAAGCCGTTGGTTATAGTTCCTTTTTTACTAAACATTAACTAAACAATTTGTCAATCAGCATGTCTTCCCCCAAAAACGGAATGATATCATTTCTGTCAAATTATGTAGCATTAAAGATACTTTCTATCTTTTATTTAAAAAACACGTTCGCTACTATATTTCCTCTCTTCCTTGGAGCTGATACCGATATTTCATACTTATCTTCTGAACTTCACAGCTAAAAGCTCAACTATCAGAAAAAATTATAGTTGTCTTCCTGTCTCTTTTCCTGTCTGAAGTTGCTGTGTAACACCTCTCACTGCCCTTGAATTTGTCACCATGGTGGTAAGTATAAGCAAATGCAAAATAAGGAAACGTGTTTCCTTTTCTTTGCAGCTACCTCAAGTTTCAAAGAAATATTTAAACTACGTCTTTGATGTTTCTACATTTGCATTTTCTGAGAAGAAACAGAATATCTCATCTTACTTTTTTAACCTGTCAAACTGGAAAATTAAGCAATTTTAGAAACTGAAATTAGTTTTTGCACCAGAATTTTCTTTCACAACCTGAACCCAAAGATTTACAATGAATGCTTGTGTGGTTCATTCCTAGTTTTTTAGCTAATCAAATCTCTTTGTTATTACTTCAAATGTTCCCTAACTACCTAACATATATTGATTTTGGTCCATATATTAATTTTGTATGTCAGCTTTTCACACCTCATCAAACAGTAAGCTGAACAAAACACACAGGTATAGACAATCATTAACCTCTAAACAAACAGTCAATGTTGTGATCTAACAACAACCGACAACCAACACTTAGGAGGTAGGGTCACCTGTAAAATGTGAATAAAAGAAACTCCCTGCTCCACTTGTTCATGCTTCTATTAGAGATGCTATAATGTTGTGCTAATAAACATGTAAAAATGTGAGGATATGGGTGGAAGTTTCAATGGTTGAGAAGATGCCTGGACGAATAAATATTATGATTCACATTGGCTGGACAATCTTTCATCATGCATGTTGAAACTGGTTCATTATGTAATTTTTTGTTGATAACGACAAGTATAACTCCTTGTATTCTTTCACAGCACAACCCCTTGTGATAAAAAATGTTCACTCTAAGATATGTAAAGTTTACTTTCATAAAGCTCCTTGTTCATAATTAAAAAGTATGGACTTAAACAGTTTAACTGCCAAACCAATGAATGAGCATTGTCTATATTTGTCTGATTTCTGTCTTTTAGTGAATTCACGCAGCTGTAGTTTTGCTGGCGTGTTTTTGGCAGAGGGGGAGGGCCGTCACTCTCTGAACTTTGACATGGCTACAAAGGTGTGTGAGCAGCTGGACAGCACTATGGCAACTCCACAACAAGTCAAGATGGCGTATGGGAAAAACATGCAAACGTGCAGGTGAACTCACAAGCCAAAGTCCCATAATCATTGGTATTACATGTTATGAAGAAGACCTATTTAAACTAAACCTTTTCTAACTATGTCTCTTAAGTTTTAGAGCTGTTATTTGTAGTGGAGTGGTAGTAGAGTCAAGTTCTTTTTTCCTTCTTCCCACTTCATATTTTTATGCACTCTAATTTCCTCCTCCCTGTGCACTCTGAATTTCCCTCCTCAATTTCATATATTTCAGTTTTCTACACAGATTGAGTTTAGTTTCTGGTAACATGAGGAAAGATGTATCCTATAGAAAAAAAAGAAAATGCAAATGTTTTCTAGAAAATATATATTATCTGCTCTCATCTTCAGATTTGGTTGGGTCAGCAGCAGGAGCATCGCCATCCTCAGACATGAGCATCATGAAAACTGTGCAAAGAACTTGACTGGGCTGATCATGAATCCCAACGTTGATGTTGGAGATTTGTTTGATGTCTACTGCTATGATGAAAAAGGTGACTGTATCATCAGTGTCGTCCATCACACTTCATCTGTCCATCCAATGCTGGCAAATAAGTGTTAATATCATTTTGAAATTGGCAGTACACGAGCTCCATGGATTGTTTGTGCGTCATGATAATGACTTCTCTCTGCTCTCTCCAGTTCCAGACAGTGATCTTGACTGCATAAAATCGTTCTCAACAACAAATTCACAATTTCTCTCAGATCCACCAGGTCAGAGTACAGTTTCATCTTTTCCTCACTGTAACACAATTAAATTCAATAGATGTCAACATTTTAACATATCTTCTATATATTCAAAGTTTCAGTTACAATAATGCCCTTTTTTTCAACCACCAGAAACTTCAACAGAACCTCAGCCTGCAGCCAACCCAGAAGCCAAGGCAGGGACAGAGTCAGATCCAGAACCCAAACCCACAGATGTTTTAGATAGCCAGGCTGTGCACACCACAGTTGCCCCCGGAGGAGATGTTCCGGTGCAGGATGTAGACTTAACAACACTGGCAGCTATTACTCAGGGAACAGAAAGGCCAGAACCTGCCACTGAGGTTTTCGATGTGGGGTTCCCCTCCGGGAACAACAACAACAATGACAGCAGCTCTGTGACTCCCCTTTTCCCTCATGGTGAGACCGATATTACAACTGGATCTGGGATGCAGCCGACTCCCACGGAGGGAGAAGGAGATTTTTCAGTGATCCCTGGTGGAGTGCCAGATGTGACGCTACATGATGAAGAACCACAGAGCACACATCCTGATGGCGAAGGAGAGCGTAAGGGAAACTCACCACAATGCAGACTCCTATGAGTGAGAGCAAACATACAGTACATGCAGCCTACCACAGCATTCTTTAAAATGTATCCTGAAAGTACAATATGTTCTAGTATAGTAGAGAAAAAGAATGTTGCATGAAATAAAAAGCACTGCACGAAAGCCAGTGTGTGTAATGCGGTTTACATATGCTGAAAAAAATTATCAGAATGAAGTTTTACGTTACTTTGTGTTATATTTTCATGACAACATGCTGTAATAAATGCAGAGCGTCATGACACCAGGTGCAACAGGTTTAGAGAGATTAATGTGACTTTAAGAACACATGACGCCCCCTTGTGTTGGTTAAAACGTATCTTGAAATTAAACTTCAGGCCTTTCCACCTTGGTAAGGGAAAAAAGGAGATGTATTTCTTTTTCTTGGGAGGTATTTCATAGTGCCAGCAGGCACAGTTAATGCTAATCTGATTTTAAATAGTGATATAAAACTAATGTGTGACTTTCCAGAATTGCCTGTTGGGGGAAAGACTGTTTTTATGATTATTTTAATAAATACATATTTATTTTATGTGTGTACACAGCCCCAAAACGAGTTCCAAATGACAAGGGAAGGGTCATGGGTCCTGCTTCATCGGACAATGATCAACCGGAGAATGACAATTCATCAAGTGAGCACCTCTCATATAGCTGAAGTACACTGAAGTGCACGCTGACTGTAGTCAACTAGTACCACACTGGATAAAGTACACTTGAAGTGTTTTTTTTTGTTTTGAGTTTTGACTTAGCTTTCAAACTGTCAATCAAGTAGATCTATCTTCTGAACTCTCTCCCCAGACTGGCTGGTAATTATCGGAGTCATTGTGGCAGTCGCTGCTATTCTTCTCGTATGTGCAGCTGTCGCCAAAAGAAAGAGGTATGACTTTGATTGCTGTGGCTCGCTCGAAGCTGTCATCTATCAAGCTCTAAACCGCTAACTGTACCAAAAATGTGACTTTGCAGCTGGTGCGGCAGGCAACAAACCCTGATGATCACCACCAAAGATGGCGGCGAGGGCAACGGGGCAGCGGCAGTCGCATCCAGCTCCCACAGCCAGGACAGAGAGCAGGAAATGGTCACCCTCATGAACAAGGAGAACATCCAGGAGAACGGCAACACAGAGGAGTTCACCGTGATCAAGCTAGAGGAGTCTCCGGATAAAGACCAGCAGGCATGAGGCTCGCCAGTAGATGCAGCCAGGAAGGAGCCAGCTGAAGGGAGGAGACACACAGTCACATGACAGAGTAGACAGGTTGGGTTTGGGGCTCCAAACACTGGGTTTGTCAACTGCTTTTATGGGCCAGCACTGAATGAGTACTGAGTGTACATGTATGAGTGTGTTTTTTAAAATATTCTGTGCGATTGACGTATACAGGCCTGTACTGAGGCTGAAGCCTAGGAAGGGGGCCAAGTCTTTAAAGGCAGCATGTGCAGCATTTTGTTCGTCTAGTTTAGTAAAGGCTGGGAGAAAGTCAGCAGGACGCGGGAATGTGTTTTGTGTCTGTTTTAAGAATCTGCATGCTACATTGACAATGGATTAGGTGTAGGTGTTAAGAGGGTTGAGGGATGATTTGTAATGAGTTTACTGTTTAAAAAAGTAAAATTTTATACATGAGAATCATTTTGAAACAGTCAAGTTTGACTTAGACGGGCAATGATAATTCAACAGTAAGATCTATTTGTTTAATTTCGTTTTAATCAAGGTTTTTAAAAGAACAATCTTGCGTGTTTTCTGTGGTTTATATGTTTGTTACGTCCTATTGGATCACTGTTGTTACCTGTGCATATTCCAGATGTTTCCTGTGGACTGGAATTTGGGCTTTTCCATTTTCAAAAAAAGTGTGACGCCCCTATATTGAACTAAACTACTTTGAATCCCCTTTTCTCACTTTGTATATATTGTATAATTTTCAAATAGATCTTGTAATAGCTGCCAGTGCTTTTTTGTTATTTGGTCGGTAGGGTGGTTCCCCTTTCAAGTGAAAGAATGTGTCTTATTTATTTAGAACATGTACCTCAGAGGTAAATGTTTCTGAATCGTTTTTGCAATACTCAAAGTAAAGTGTATATTCTATTAATCTTCTTGATGTATACATTCCAAAATTGTGCAATTAATGCACGAATGAAGTCAGTTAAAATTACATTTGGCTTGGAAAATGATGATATGTTGATGTTATCCTGAGGATAATAATTATAATGATGTGCACATACTGTATTCACAGTGTATAAGCAGATTGACAATAAGAGAGAACCTGAGAAAGAATTTAACAGTATCCCCAGCACACTAGTAATTTCTGGAAGAAAACATATTTGACAGTGACTGATGTAACAGTAGATACTGGACTAAATAGCACATCTGATAATGGGAGGCCCATGTGCTGTAAACACAGGGCAATGTTAAATGCTTTTATGTGATCAAGAGACTGCAACAACACTGTTTGTTTGTTCCCTGAGAGGTGGGGATGTGATGAATGAAGCTTATGGGCTTACTCCAACCTTGTGTGGCACCCGCTCTCCATGTTCAAACGAGTAAAGAAAATGCTGCAATTTTTTACTGACCTTTCTCATGCCAATATTCTTCTCTGTGTAACCACCGATTTCTTTTGCTTGGTTTTCAATATGAAGCTGAACTGCGTACAGTTATTGCATACACATTTTTACAAACTTTCATTTTCTTTAGCTCTGCTTTTAGGAAAAGTAGCAAATGTACTAGAGTAGACAGGTTTGATGACACATTAACAAAAAATGTAGCTGAAAAGATGTGTAAAGTCATGAATGCAATAAATGTGCATAGATACAGATATGCTTTAACATGGTGTTCTCTCACTGATTACTCGGTATGTGTCCAAACAAAAGGCGGTGAATGAATAGAATGACAGAAACTGCAAGTGGTTGAAAGATACATTGTTCCATCATATCAGGAGGTGAGGTTTCCATGGCGCTGAGGTCAGGGTTCAGAACGTTAACACAAGAACCACAGGGGGAGATAAGACAGACACTCTGAAAGATATGGATGGCATTGTCTAAATTTTATTATGAATGCATGGTCAGCAAACCGATAGAGGAGAGTAACAGAGGTTTTATAAGCATGTAACATTATTTACTAATTACAAATTGTGCATTTTGCATATTTACAACTTCATATTTCACAGTTCTTTTAACTATATGCTGTGATGTCACTGTATTGCGTGACCACTAATTATCGGATTTCATACTATACAGTTTCCGACTTCTGTACAAGTCAGTTTTAGTCTTCTTCTCATAGATTTCCCTACATTATTACAACCCATTTTACTATGCACAAACTTCAAAGATTGATCAAATCCGGTCCAGCCATTGTCTATTTTCTCTCTCTTGGCCGCAAGCACCTCAAGAGAGAAGTTTGCAAGTGGGAGACGTCACAGACGTCACTCTAATTTCTCAAACGTGGTTCATGGGTGTCAGCCACTTCTAACAGTTACAGCTGCCACTGGGAGAGCTAACAGAATTAGCCATATGCTGTTTTCCCAAAAAGGGATATCAAATAAACCCCTGCCTTTGTGACTGTATGTCTAATCTGGAGAACTGGATTTCTAATGTGACACAATCTGTTACCTCATACTTTGAAATAATCTGGATCTGTTGGATAAATGCCCTAGAGCGGAAAAGTCATTTTTGAGAGTCTGATAATGTCGCGTTTAAGAGTTAGAGGGGACGTATAGGACCATCAGAACAACATGTGGAAATCAAATATGTGGCACGATGAGTAAAGATAGAAGCAAATCATCAAATATCACCAAGAGTTTAGTTATGAATCAACATTTATTAGTTATATTTGTATATGTACACCGAAGGTACAACACTTATTGATATGTAGAAACAGATTTTCATGTATAGCATAGACTGAGGAAGGTTTTTTTTCTCTTTTTTTCCAATAGTTTATTTTTCCCACACACCCTCTCTGCCTTTACATTGAGATTACAACAGCTTTACACTAAGGGCAGGCCAAGAAAAGTAACATCAGAAAGCACATTGTAGGCAGGGGGAGAAAGGCTATCAACTCTGATTAGACGTTTCTTCAGCAAGACACACTTTACCAGAACAGGACAAGCTGAAAGGTAAACTGGTTCTTCGCTGAATATTCATTTTAACAGAAGCATTTGGCTGGGTGAACCTCGGGTGTATGTGTGTGTGTGTGTGTGTGTGTGTACATATAGATTCTGTGTAAAAAGCGGGAAAAAAAGGCAAGCGGCTTAAAGGCAGTTTACTAGGCTTCTGTAAACCTTTCGATGTCGATGGTGTGACAGAGATGTAGTTTGTGATGTGGCACATTGAAGGCTTAGACAGATAATAGGAAATCTAGACATCCACATGTACCAGGTAAACACAGATGCCTGAGACTAAAGCCAGTCTTCTCCCTTTAAAACCGTTCAAAGTGAATCACCTGAAGATTGTTGCTCTATACTGTAATAGGCACCAGAATACCACAAATGTTTGTTCTTCCACTCACGCAGGGTATGACTTCTCGCTACATCCTACACACAGGGCAAATTTGACCTCTTCCTCTTTCTTTCCAGGAATCTTTAGAACTGTTATCTTAACCAATAGTTTGCCCTTAGAAAAAAGAAACTTCCCTTTACTCTTTTTTTTAAATCTCATTCTTTGTCATCCTTTCTTTTATATTATTCATGCAAAACAGTGTTTGTGTAAGGATCACTATGATCTCAGGAAAAAGTCTGCATTACCACTGAACAGAACAATTATATATTTATGTATGTACAATGAAAATGAATTCACACTGCTTATATCTTTATAGAACAAACATTCAAAACGCTTACATTAGATAAAAAAAAGATATTTATATATAGGTGTGTGACAGGTAAGTAAAACAACTTGTTAACAGCAATTAGAGAATTAAAAAACAATTTCTTACATAAATTCTCTATACAATATTTCTAATCTAATTTTACTTGGGACATATGTGTTTTACCCCTATAGACTTACATTTATAATGTCACAGCAATTAAACTATATTCCTATATATCATTCAATGCACCCAAGAAGAAAAAAAACAACCCAACAATAATATCTGTTACCTACAATATATACAAAGAGTGCATAGAGGCACTTCAAAATATCATGCTTTTAAGATAGTGGTGCAAAAAAGAATTATTTGTATTTAATTCATGCTTCTAAAACCGTGAGTTTGAACATAATAGTGGTCCAATGCTCAATCCCCATCAGTGACACTGTGGACCGCATTGTCTCCTCACTGGAGTTGTTCAGTTATTCACTGAGGATCAGAAGGTCAAAAGATGAAGCCCAAAGAGCCTGATAGGGTTGTTCAGCGCTGTGCTCTGCAGCTCATGGATAACAGTTGCCACTGTAGTGAGCTTTGACATGTTTAATAAGTATTTTCTTTATATTTGCATGCATGGTATTAATGTGTGCGTGCACAGGGGGAAAAACCCAGCTGATTGTGTTTTGCTTTTTCTGTGTGAGTATACATCAGTCCATTAACGTGTTGAGCAGAGCACTGATTGTGCACTCTGATGTGTCAAAGCACACGCCTGCTGGCCAAGCTTAAAAAAATAGAAGTCTTCTGAGACTGTTTCAGGAACTAAAGGACAGAGTGTGGCTCTAAGTGCTGTTAAATCAACTATTGTTAAAGACATTTGTTTGAAGTGAACACTTTCAAGGCAAGGTTGTCATCCAGCACAAATGAGAAGAAACGAGAGACCAGAGAAAGATTTAATGCTGATAAAGAGATAGAATTAATCTCCACATCATGTAACTACCTACTGGCATTCGCACAGACTAAAAAAGATTAACAGCCATTAGTCCCGTTTGTGTGTTTGCCATCTTTAAAAGTCATTTGTTTTTCGGTCAGAGGCATATACTCTCATCTAGACATAATTTAGATATCTGTGTGCATCCGTTGTTCCCGTTTTGAGTTTCCTAAAATGACCTCTCACTAATTAGGACACACAGCTGCAGCATCTAGGGTTTGTAGAAACAGTCTTGAGCTCTGGTGGCAAAAAAAAAACCCAAAACCAAAACAAAACATTTTGCTTACAAATTTAGTTCTGGCTAAATAGGAAGCCTTCCCAAAATGTTACATCAATAATCTGTCGAGAGACCATCTGATGGCGAAGTGCTGGACTTTTTCTTTGTTTCTTTTCTTTTTCTTATGATCCTGTTGCTTCACCTTGTGTTCAGTGTTCAGTAACAGCTGTGCTTTCAGGTAGTAAATTGTTCACATGGTCATTCAACCACTGGAATGTATTATTCAAAATGTGTGTGTGCTTTCTTTAGGAGCTGGAAATCTTCCATTTCCATCACATTATCTTTTTTTCTGCAAAAAAGTAAGAAGTAAACTGAGACCATTCTGGGGTTTTTTTAAGAGAAAACCTTCAAAGGTTGCACTGAGGCCATTTCTTGAAGTGTAATGCCCTAATGAGCAAGTAAACATATACGATCACAACATGTTATACTCTGCAAAAGAGCTAACACATATGCCTGAGTAACTACTGTCCCTTGTTCTGTTATTCTGTCTAAAATGACTTGAACTGGGAGTTGTTTCACCATGGAATGATAGTATAAATGTCTATGCCGCAGACTGAAAATTTAACTCACTGATATTTTGGCTTCAATTGTGCTTTTATGCTTTATACTTGCACCGTTTATGTGCTCTATATAGTCCCTACTTTAATTCAGGATTTAAATCTTTATATCTCAAAATTTTACCTTTCATTTCATTGGCATTAAAATGTACTTTGGGGGGAAAGGAAAGTGCTCTGTAAACATTTCATATATAGGGCAATGATTTTCTTTGAATTCAGTATAAACTGTTGTGCCACCCAACCAAAAATGCCCAATTTGTGAAAGAGTCAGGTTGTGTTGCACGTGAGGCAGTTCAAAGGGCTCTCTGAGTTGATTGATTTTTCTGCCTGTTTGGTCCCTTTAGTTGACTTTTTAAACCCTTACTCTGCCTCTCTCATTCTCAAGAAAATAAATTAATTTTAAATGTGAATATAAGAAAAAAAAGTCCCTTTTTCACAGTTGACAAACAAAATAAAAACAAAGGGGAATAAAAATGGGCTCCATGGGATGTTTTGTGCTTTAACCACTTTGATAGTGCTTATGAATTACGAGGCTCCTGGCCGTTTTCCTTTTCTGAAATAACTTCCCTTCTCTGACTCCAAGGGATGCAGGTAACACTGTTTGCAATTAGATGCACTTGAAAGACTCTGATAATTATGACATAGGATGAGAGACTTGTCTGAAAAGAAAGAGCAGTGGCCGTGTGTACATGTTGTGACAGACTGACAGGAATGGAAAGCCAGAATGTTAAGTAGTCATTACATTAACCGTCATGAATATTGTCTAATTCCCACTCATCCTTGGAAAACTGGAAGATGGTGTCAGTGCATCTATGTCTTAAAGAGCTATTTTGTCCCTCTGCATATGAACATCAGGCTGTATTGCTAAGAATGGCTTATTCATTTTCTTTCCACTCTTCCTTCCAACCCCAAGCCTTGAAGTATATTGTGCAAGTATCTGCTAAAGAGGATATAATTGCGCTCTAACAGGTGAGGTATACCTCTGTTATCAGTTCACGGTTAAGTGAATTAGTATTACATATATATCAGATAGACAGTTACAAAAACTTTTAAAGGGACTAATAAAAAAGAAAACTACATTGAAAGAAAAAAAACAAAAAAACAATTAGTGATTCTGTTCATGTGACTTTTCATTCTCTCTTTTTTTTCATCACCGGATAAGAAAGCTTGTGGAGCCCAGATGCAGGGGATCTCTGCGCTGCCATTATTCATGTTTCCATGGTTCCTCTTCGACAAGCGTGCACTCCGCAGCAGAGCCGTTAGTGGCTGAGGTTACCTGCAAGCAGTTAGCAGTGACATCTAAATAATAAATCCAAGGCACTGGTACAAAGCACATAGGATTTCTAATAAACATTTGATCGATATCTCTAAATATTTAATGATATCAATATGTCTTTTTCTTTAGGTTTATTGAACTTTAACTTAGCGTTAAAAGCAACACGTCATAACATCAGAATTAAAAATCTTTCCAGCTCTATTTATGTTTTTTCTTTTTTTCTTTTCCATAAGAGCAATCTTTAAAATATTTGTTTTATATGAGGTGTTTTAAAAATCTGAGAAGATGGGCCTACCAACCCATCTAAGATGAAGCACACTTCACTCTCTGAGTTTACTAACTTGATTATTAAAACTTTCAGTCATTTGACTCAATTGACTCCATCAACAATTGAATTAAAATAGTTACACACCACAAATCCAAATTACTATTTGACACCAATTAAATTTACAAACCTCATGAGAAAAAGCTTGCCAAAATAATTTTAATGAATTTCTAAATCTGAAAAGGGTTTAAAAAAATGTCAGACAATGTGATCTTGTTTTGATTAATATGTAAACTAATACCATTTTCATATCGAAGACTTTATACATTTATATTCTTGTAAAGCTAGATAACCTTTTTCTTTTATCCCTATTCTTTTTTATTCATTTAGTTTTTTTTTTGCTGGTGTTTTGCCCATTAAATCAAAGCCTCTTAGGAGAGCCCCTGGAGAATGATGATTGTGCTTATGGCAGTCTTAACAGGTACTCTTCTTCTATACTGACCTGGAAATAGACCACAAATTTATGATGATGACCACAGACATTAACAGGCAGTAACAAGACATTTTTTTTTAAACAAATCAAACAAAAAAGAGTTAAACAGACAAACAGAATACATGCACATCTGAAAACAAGGTACAAACACTACAGAATGAATGCATTGTTAAGTCTTAGGTTTGGTGAAAACATTCCACACTAATTCAGAAACCTTAAAGCAATGTTAAAAATATAAGTTTTGTAAGTAAATAAAAGAAAGAGAGAAGCAAAGGAACAAAATTATTAAAAATCATGAGGAGCATCCTTGAAATAGCAAACCTTTATGTAACATTTTCATGCAAATGTACATTTATGAATGCAGGCCTAAGAAGGAGGGTCTAACTTTTCTTGGACTGATTGCGTATGTGACAGGTTAACAGTGTCGCTAGGCAACACTCCTCCTTCTTTAATTAATGAATAGGCTCATCAGTAGCTGGGTGTGTTTCTGTGTGTGTGAGAGTGTGTTAAGCTACAGGCTCCCTCAAACACTTTTTTATTCCACAGAACCCTTTAAAGCATTCAGGCATTTAAAGCATTTAATAATGGGATTCAACTTTTTTCTACATGTGCCATGTTTTAAATCACAGAAGCTACATGTGATAAGCTAAAGTTCTCACAATGTGCAGAAATAGATGGTGTCAAACGGAAAAAAAGTCGTCAAGGGAATAACTCACTGAGAGTGTGATATAGAGACGTGTGTAGGGAATGTATGAGCTATTAATTAACTATAACACTGCCTTCTCTCTCAAATTTTAGAGCAAATTAATAGAAAATTCATTAGATATTTATGATCAGACAACTTAAACTCACACTGATTTTACATTCCACTGAACAAAAGAAGCAGCAAAAACTGAGCATCTGACGAAGGACATTATTGTAGCCTTTCAATTAAGAGCCAAGTGTCCATAAGTTACATTGATCTGGTCGGTCGCATCAAATAAAAGAACGAGAGCTAATTTAACCTCAATAGGTAGGGTATGATCTTCCACCTGTTATAGAGCTAAGTTTCAGTTTTGAACTGTTCAACACAAAAGCTGCTATTTCAGAAGGTTCATACATACTCTGCATACACGCACAAATGGCGTTCTCGCCGTTGTTCTCTTGCTGCCATTGTGACATAAATAGTGAGTGAATTCACATCACTGTGTGGGGGAAAAAAGTGCAACACAAAGCAAACAGGCTCAAGCAAAGGTGCAGGGTGAGCATGCAACAGTCAGAGAGGGTTATATAGAAGTCTCTATGTCTGGAAGCATTAATTGTACCTTGCATTCATCTACTAAGACAGAATTGTTAGCAGTTGTGGAAGCGGTTTCAGTTAAGACGCACTGGTTGGAACTGTTTTCATGGTGGTTCTTCATGTCATCGTAATAAGATTGGGTCTTTGTCATCATTTCAATGTCGTCAGATTTTGCTGCGTGCAAATCCAGCTCCTCCAATTCGGCCTTTGACAGGTGGTACACGATGCCTGCACCATAGGAGTCGCCCACCACATTGACCGAGGTCCTGAATCGATCCCTGAGGAGAAAGACTGCTTTGCTCATCTTGTTTACAAAGAAAAGTCCAACAGGTTATTTTTTGGGTGTGTGGCCATATTGTATATTTTTCTCATCACACTCACAGCAGCCAGTCGACAGCAACTAAGAGACTAATATCTTGGGTTGGCAGGCCAACCGCAGTCAGGATCAACAACATAGTCACCAGGCCGGCACTGGGAATACTGGCTGCCCCAACACTGGCTAAGGTGGCCGTCAGACTGAAAGACGACGGGAGAAAGAGGCACTTCATCACATACATCGCATACACTACACATAAGTACATCCTTCAAAATTCCTCTCAATAAGTCCCTTCAGATACTAATGACCATGACACTGATGTGTCTCACAGCTACAGATGGAAATGCTTCCCCTCTGTGCTCCTCATGTTGAGATCAGAGTGGGTCCTTAAAAGTGAGACAGGTCTGGATGTTTAATTTGGGGTTTCGTGGATTTATGTGCTATAATAATGTCCGGGTGAAGGTCATCCATCCTCAGCCCACTCTCTTAAAGGATGAGCACTTGGCAGAGATAATTAAAAAAGAGCATGTGGTTGCTGTTTGCCTTCCTGCTTAGCATGAGGCATGGCACTGCTGTTGCTTCCTCATGCTGGTTTATTTGCTCCACTGTAAATCTGCTCTCTGGATTGGCTGTTCGAGCCACCCAGCCACTGTTAAACAGCTGAACCGCATTTGTAGGACCTCCTTTAAACACAGAACTTCATAAAAGAAATGTGATGCATTCATTCCCAGACTGCACTGGAATGAAATAGATTCTTGCACAAAGTGTGGGTGTTTTTCTGACCTGACTGTGACAATCTGACCAGGGTCAAGGTGGATGCCATTCATTTGGGCAATGAAGATGGCGGCCACAGCCTCATACAGAGCAGTCCCATCCATGTTGATGGTGGCGCCGACCGGGAGCACAAAGCGAGTCACTCTTTTGTCAATACCCAAATTCTCCTCCAGACAACGGAAGGTGACCGGCAGTGTACCAGCACTAAAGGAGAAAGCAGAACGATTGTAGATTTTATCGTTTATGACAATTTGATGAAATAGCAAGACATATTTAATTCCACCCTCATTCTAACCTGGAAGCTGTTCCCAGAGCAGTGATCCAGGCCTGGAAGATTCCCAAGAAGAAGGTGAAGGGGTTTTTTCTGGTGATAGCAAAGTAAATGCTGGGCAGGAAGATTGCACCATGGATGATGAGGCCAACAATCACAGTAATCATGTACATGCCAAGCTGCCTGGCAACCACCTCCAAGTCCTTTATGGAGATGATCTTGCCACAAATCAGACAAGCAATACCAAAGGGAGAGTACCTTATGGGGTGAGAAGCCATGTGTTATTCGTTACATTATATCAACAACAGAGTTGTCAGTAAGGTCTGGCAGACTCTGTTTAATGTAATCTTCAACATGTAATGACTTCAGAAATAACTTAAAATCAAGCAAAAAAGTTATTTCTAACTTGAATGACTTCAATGTTTTTTTCATTATCAATGAGTCGATATGAATCATGAGTGATACTGACCACATGATCATGATGACAAGTTTCATCACAATCTCATTGAGGATATTGAAGAATTCAATCATGAGTCTGGCCCTGTCTCCCATTTTGCCCATGCAGATGCCAAATGCAATAAAGAAGCCAATCAGACCTGTGACAGAAAATCATAAATGCATTCAAACTTCAAAAAGCTGTGTTGATGTGTGAGCTGGAGCCACCATGAGGATTATGGCAGCATGGTTCTAAACTATGAGATTTTAGAAAAATCCAAGATATATGTAATACTTATTTAAGTTGACTTGACCTAAAACATCTGAAAAGCTAAAAACTTGGGTCATTGTGTTCTCTGTACCCTCAATGCAGGCAGACAATATTTACTTTCTAGACGATTAGCTTAGTCAGAGTGTGTAGATATGAATCTGGTGGAATAAAGAAAGCAACCATTTTTCTGGTATACAAAGCATAGGATTTTGATTTAGAAACAAGTATAATTCATCCACAATGTTTTGAGGCATATAAGGAAACGTTAAAAACTTTTGTAACTAACTTTCTCTGAAGGAAATAGAGACAATGGTGGGTGAATGCCAAATCAGTTAGAGAATGAATAGTATTTCTAGAAGGAACTATAAACCAGGTGTGTAGTGCCTAGGTCTATTTGGGTCTAGCAGAACATGAACATGCAGTATTTTCTGAGGACTATCACATCTCACATGTGTCATGTTAACATGCTGAGTGAGTATTTAGATTATTATATATATATATATAATTGCTACAAATCTGTACCCTATTACATACCCAAAACATTCATTCCACTTTTGAACTGCAGTGATTTTTTGACGATGAACTGTGGCTCCTTGGTAATGTTGGCCAGTATACCATCCATGGTAGTGACATTCAGATCCTCGGTAACAGCCACCTCTACCTTTTTCGTGACTGTTTGGATCTAAAGGATAAGATACAAGTGATAAGCTGATGGCTGATAATGGTCCCGTCTTTGATAAATAGTTTTCTTTCCAAGTTTTTACTATTTTTTCTTGTTTACCAATTTGATACAAATTTCCATGTCAAATGCCACAGGTGCACAAGGGCTGACACTACTGTCACACTAAAACGCTCAGTAAGTGTGAATAACAGTCTTCATTTTCATCTGTTACCTGCTGGAAGCAAGCCTGCACCAAGTTTTCAGGGAACAGATTCCTGATCAGATCAAAGAAGGCATCCAAGCTGGACACCTCGTCATTTTTCTCTCCCTCGCCCAGATTCTCCTTAAGCTTGGGGTTGCCAGGGTGGATGAGTAATACCAGGATGACTCCCAGGACAGCAGCAATAACAGTGGTACTCATGTAGTAGACCATAGCTCTAGTGCCCAGGCGACCACTAGATTTGGCATCCAGACCGGCCAGACCTGCATCCAAAACAATTACGATCACGTTTACCTAGTCATTTCCTTATTGGATATAAAAGTTCAGTGAATACTGTGAAATATGAGAGTTGAAAGTTATCTTGATAAGGAATCCAACTGCTCTTGTAACCACAGGGCATGATATGCTCACTGTCCTCTTTTGAAATATTCTATGTTCTACCTGGACTTTATTTTAATCAGTGAAACAGAACCTGTGATTAAACTGGATATGATGAGGGGCAGGATCAACATCTTCAGCATCCTCATCAGGATATCTCCCGGAAAGGCGATCACCATGACGATGTCCGGGTGGATCGGGGAAGCAACGCGAAGCAACATCCCTGATACAGCTCCCAAGATCACACCTGCAGTTGGAAATGTGTTCATCAAAAAAATATCCAGAGTGTACTGTAGCCGAGTATTTTACCTTATACAATTATTTCTAGAATACACCTTCATGCTAATTTAAGAGAAAGACACAAAGATATATGAGAAATGAGTCAGAATGTCTACTGTTGCACCTGTAATCTTAAAATGTTAAAATGTTTTTTAGCATTATTCCCTATTTAAGGACATGAAAAAGGGTGTAATAAAAATGAATCAACATGTTGTGCTTTGCTAGGGTATTTTTACGTTTTTGTTTTAGTGCTCCTTAGTCTAACTTCTCCTTCAATTTGTTGAATCCTGAAAAGACCTGACACTGGACAGATCAGTTAATCTCACATGAAACTACTGCTGAAGCAGGGACGTGTACCTACTCCAAAAAGCATTTTCTAAAACAAACTTATTGTCCAAAACTGATGTTGACCTCTGATTGCTCCCCCCACCCCCCCACCCCCTGGCTTATTAGGCCTAGCTGTTGGCTTCTGTATCTGTCTGTCTGTCTCTGGCCAGACAAAAGTTCAACATCCCTCCTGGGGCTGCACTTCCTCTGCCAAAGATAACACGTCTCAATATGTTGTTTAATAACACACAATGGAATCAAAAGCCATTCATTTATTTTCTCTTTTTCCCATTTTGATATCAGCCATCCTTTGTGCTTCATTTTTTTCCTTAAATCTAGAAACATCCTGTGCACACAGTGGTTTTGGATGGCACTCGGTTTCCTGTGCCTTCGTGCAAGCCAGCTTCCTTAGAGGCTCTTTTCTGTAGAATGACAGATAATCAATGATCATGCTGGCTTACTTTGTGAGATTCCTGTTGCTAAATGTTGCACATGCTCACGCATTCAAATAAGCAGGACACATTGGAGTAAGAAAAGTAAAAAACACAAAAAATTGGACCATGTAGAATTTACTTACACATGTATATATATAAATATATATAT